TATACGGAGTGGTGAGGATGAAACACATTAGCTATGTATGTGCAAGGCAAGGACCCCACCTATTCGCTCTGGTCCCAAAAAATACCATTTTCAAAACACAACAAAAAATTATAGAACTTTAAAATGACCCCAGTTTTCTACCTTCTGAGATAGGTCCTCCTTTTAATCTCTTATCCTGAAGAACAGGATGGGGCTTTTAAATAAATATCAGGGGCCATCATTCTGCTTGTGATGTGACATTAACATGGCAAAAAAGATTTGGGGTGAAAAAGAATATAATTATGTTCCCTAATCAGTTGGCTTTGAGTTAATTAAAGAGTGATTATCCTAGGTGTGTTCACTCCAACGCCAGTGCTCAAAACAGGCTCAAAACAGGGAACCACCAGCGCCCTGGAAAAAAGCAGGTCATCACATGTCTTGGACAGCTGGGAACAAAACCAAACAACCTGACTGGAAAAGGATGGAGCCCCTGCGAGAACCCTGCCTCGGCTGCCACTTGAACTGCTTCCCCTGGGGACCTGAAGTCTGAAGTCCTCCCTGGATTTCTCACTGGTAGTTAGAATATAACCGACGTTGCGCTCAGCCTAGAAGTTTGTGGCAATGTACTGCACAGCAAACAGAATAGCAGAGATCACTTAACTATGGGCCAGCGACCACTGGTAAGCTACTGTGGAGAGCCATGGTCCCAAAATGTGACCCTGAACTCCTCAAGAACTCTTCATAAGTCCATGAAGTCAAAAACTATTTTCATAATAAGAGGTAGATGTTATTTACGTTCGCCCTTCTCACTGTCTCATGAGGTCATAGTTTCAAGTCCTAAATGACAGGCAGTCTCACTGCTTAGAGGGGAAATAGAACAATTTCTTCTATAGTGTAGGGCTTAACATTTTTTTTTGTTTGGGGTTAGAAAGAGTACAGTGGGTAGGGCGTTTGCCCTGCAACTGGTAAACCTGATTTGATCCCTGTCACTTTATATGGTCCCTAGAACTCTGGGAATCACTCCTCTAAGCACAGAGCTTGGGTTATCTTTTTAGCAAGGAACCCCGACTATCCAATGAAATACTGAACCCCGACTATCCAACATTTTTGCCCATGGACACAGTTTGAAGCACGTTATACTGCAGGCTAATGCTTCCTGTGATGACTTCTGGATCTCACACTTACTTGCTGACGTGGCAAGCTAAGTCCACTCTGGGGTAGCTGAGCTATAGGAAGCACTAAACAGATAATTATTCCAAATGTGGGAGGCCCTGGCTTGATCCCAGATTCTTCCTGGTCTCCCAAGCACTGCCAGGCGTGACCTCCGGGAAAAGAGCCAAGAGCAGTCACCAAGCACTGCCAGGTGTGGCTCAAAACACAAAAACAAGGAGCTAGAGTGATAGCACAGTGGATAGGGCGTTTGCCTTGCACGAGGCTGACCAGGGTTCGATTCCCCCAAGCATCGCCAGGAGTTATTCCTGAGTGCATGAGCCAGGGGTAATCCCTGTGCATCATCGGGTGTGACCCAAAAAGCAAATAAAATAAAATAAAATAAAAAATAAAAATAAAATTTCCTAGGGAAGTAGGGTTTGGGGAGGATGTGTTATTTCCTTCTCATTCAAAGACTGATGTAGTTCATTTTTCACGAATAGTCTCTTTTTCCAGTGAAAGTGGAGCATTTCAAGGCAAATTGAAACAGATGTTTTAGTGACCAGTCCTCAGTGTGAGTTGTGACTCAAACAATGTCACAGAAATGCAGAGCCAGGAAGCTGTGCCCCTCACACCAGCCTCCTGTGCCAGCGATGACCTTGAGCACTTGGATTAGCCATAACAAGCAACACCCAGCAGAAGCGCATCTGTTTACCCAATAATCTGTCAGCGAGAACGGTGTGAGAATCTACACCCGTCTGGGTCTGAATGTGTTCACAGCCTACTGATCCCAGGCAGGACTTTCTAAACTTTCACTGAAACAGATTCTTCTTCTGATGTTCCAGGAGGACTGTGTGGGTCAAGGCTCTGCAAGGTATTCACAACTGGGATTTGGGAAACAATATAACCAGCTTCTGGCTTAAGCCCCAGCAGTAGGTTTCCTGGTGCAGATCTGGAAAGGCTGCCCTAGAACACAGACAGGCATTGACAGAACCAGTGTGGTCCATATCCGCTCACCTGTTATACACACCATGCATCTTAGGAACAAAGGACAGAGCAGAGAAAAATTCAGAGAAACAAAACGCATTTGCTGCTATCCAGCCCCATGCTTCCAAACTCAGATCAGTCTCCAGAAATGTACATGCTTGTCTCATCTCAGTGCCCAGCTGAACCACACGGATATGTTGTCTAATGCCCATGGCCTTTATGACAAGGGAAATGGAGTCTGAGATTTGACAATGAAGGTGAAAGCACAAAGAATGCCTGCTTGGCTGCTGCATGGCCAGAGAACCTTGACCAGGGCTTCTGTTATGGTGTCTCCAGCCCAAAAGCCAGGAAAACATTGTGATGGCATCTTATTCCAAGAAGGAGGCTGGATGAGAAGGAAGAGGAGAGAGGACAGGGTGGGTGATATAGTGCATGCTCAGCTTGTGCCAGATCCAGACTAAATTCTTGAGGTTTGATCTACAACACCCCCCACGCACTTCCAGGTGCATCTCTGGACACCCTGAACACTGATGGGTGTGGCCCTGGAGGTCCCCAGCATCACTGGGGTGGCCTGGGTAACCCTGAGAGTGCAGGGCCCGATTAGCATTGCATCCTTGGGTCCTCGCATTGAATTGCCAACTTAGTTGGCCAAGAATTTTTGGAAGGGGACCCCAGACCATCTGAGTAAGGTTAAGGAGGTCTAAATAAATAAATATATATATATAAAAAAGAAAGACCTGACTAGCATTTTAGCTAATTAGCTTTTAGCATTTTGATTATTTTTTTGAAAAAAATTTCATATTGAATCATAATGAGATACACAGTTACAAAGTTGTTCATGATTGGGTTTCAGTCATACAATGTTCCAAAACCTGGCCCTTCACCAGGGTACACCTCCCAGCACCAGTGTCCCCAGTATACCTTCTGCCACCACCATCCCACCCTACTCATCCTGGCCTGCCTGTATGACTTTTCTTCTTACTATCTCTCTACTTTTGGGCAATACAGATACTGAGAGGTCATCACGTTTGGTCCTTTGCCCTCTTTAAGCACACATCTCCATCCAGAGGGACATCTCCAACCATCATTGATTGTCATGGTGGTCTTTTCTCTATCCCGACTTCCCTTTCCCCCAGCACTTGAGGCAGGCTTTCAGCATTTTCATTAGACATCATCTCTGGTGATGCCTCTTTTCACTAAATTGGAACTTCTTACATGAGCACAGCGGTAGGGCGTTTGCCTTGCACGCAGCCAACATGGCCGACCCGAGTTCGATTCCTGTGCCCCTCTCGGAGAGCCCGGCAAGCTACCGAGAGTATCTCGCCCGCACGGCAGAGCCTGGCAAGCTCCCCGTGACGTATTCGATATGCCAAACACAGTAACAACAAAGTCTCCAATGGAGACGTTACTGGGCCCGCTCGAGCAAATCGATGAACAACGGGAGGGCCTTTACTTACTTACTTACTTGAATCTTACCACTTTTTCTTGGCGTTATATCACAGCTTAAAAAAAAAAGTAGGGGACCAAAGAGATAGTATAGGGGGACAAGGCACCTACATTGTATGCAGCTGACTCCATTCGACTCCCAGCACTTCATACAATCTCCTGAGCACAGGGCAGGATGACCGCTAAATATAGCTGGGCATGCCCCCCGCATCTGCCTCCACTTCCCCCCAAAAATTGAAGAAAAAAAATAAATACTACAAGACATCTCATTGCTTGCTGGCTTGGTAAAGGAGCAGACCTGAGTAGCCAGCCCTGTACCAGGAAGGGTTTTTCTGTCATACTGGGCCAGGGTTTATTTGGGAGTACAGATTCTCAGTCAGGACAAGCTAAGTACTTTGTAGGACCCACTGCAAAATAAAATGCAGATCTCTTGTTCACGCTATTAAGAAACACAACAGCATCACAGCAGTGTATAAAGCCAAGTTTGAGGCCTCCTGCTGTAAACTCTGTAGAACTCTGTAAGCCACATGGGCTTGAATCCCAGCTTGGCTACTTACTAGACATGTGATCTGGGACAAGTAACCCATAAAACTTGATTCCCTATCTAATCAGCTGTTACTGGGATCAAGGGAATCAATAATTAAAATGCTGTTTAGAAAAAACATGGGGATGGGATAGGGTTTGGGCACTATGTGGTCCCCTGAGCATCACTGGGGGTAGCCTGGATGCCTTCAAGCACCACCAGGTGGCCCTGGTGGTCCCTGGCAACCTGGACCCAGAGGAGCACCTCAACCTCCCACAGGGCTGGCTGAGTATCTTGGGCCTGAACACTGCCTGAGAACCTCCCCCACAACTCCCACAAAAGAACATCTGGCAAAAGAGCAAGCACTGTATAAATGTGTAGCAAATACATCCTCTACTAGGCCAAAACAGCTCAAAACACCAGAGACAACTTCAGACACAACATTGCAAATTTATTAAAACATTTTTATAAAATGTTTTGAGGATCTGAATTATGAGTAAAAATCACATAAAAAATCAAGTAACAGAGGTTATCTTTTAATTTAACAACTAAAGATGAGATTCTTAACAGATACTCTGGCTTGAGGCCAACTACTCACAAAAAAAACCTGAAGAACACAGAAAAGACACTGGTTTCTGCTCAAGGTTCTGGAAGCCCGTGGAGCACAAACAGCCGTGCAGCCAGTTTAAGAGAACTGCTTCCTCTGCTGCAGGGACTCCCTCGAGATCTCACTGCCTCCACACAGGAAATAAAGCCTGTTGGATCTGAACAAAAATGCAGAAATACCCTTCTTCCCCCCCTCCCCTTTCCTTATTACAATGCAGAGCACTGCTTAGAAAAAAAAAGAGGGGAGAAAAAAAAAAGAGGAGAAAAAAAAAAGAAAAAAAAAAAAGAAAAGCTATGGAACAGGAAATGTTACTAATCATGCAAATTCTCTATTTAGTTCCAGACAAACATTACTGAAACACCAGAAGGCCTTAATGAATTGTGATAGATTCTTCAGGTAGAAAAGGAATGAGATGAATAGAAGCATATATGCTTCATGGCTTAATTAGTGTCTGTTTTTTTTTTTTTTAAAAAGAACAGTCTTGTACTTTTTCACTTCTCTTTTATGTATATTTACATTTTTAAAACTTCTTTTGTTCTTTTTGGGGGCCTGGTGATGCTCAAGGATCACTTGTGGTGGGGTTCACCATATCCGGTGACGGGGTCTGGGTCCCGGCAGGCAGCATGCAAAGCAAGTGCCCTATCCACTGTGGGATCTGTCCAACCTTACACATTTTTCTCTTCTGATCACCCCAAATTTTCTAATAAATACCCTCACCAATAATAAACACTGTTGATGGCAAAATTTTAGAGGAGTTATCATTTGTCAGACAATTCGCCCAAGGTACACAGATTTGGGATATTTCTCCTTAAGAGTTGGCCACTGAACAATGAAGTAATCTGAGAGGTGAAATAGAATCTTTCCGGACAGGGATAAATTTTCAACTCGGCAAATGCTCTCAACGTAGACAATGATGACTTTCTTTATTCCTAGGATCCCCAGGAGAAGAGCAGATATGCAGATAGGAACGCATGTTCCTGGTCCGTTACACAACACCTGAAAAAGAAGGAAACCGTCAAAGGTCAAATGGAAACACTTAATACTCATCTAGTTGAGGCATTTTAAATGACAGTCAAAATCTGGGAGAGGACTTTTTTTTTTTGCCACTCCTGGAGGTACTCAGGGATCAGTACTGGCAGGCTTAGGGGACCATATGGGATGCTGGGAACTGAACCCAGCCTGGCTGCATACAAGGTAGGCACCCTGATGAATTTTTTTGAAAATTCCAATTCCTGAAATGTTCTTGGTGAAGACCTAGTATATGAAACACCTGTGCACTTGGGCCCAGGCCAGGCTGGCGGTACCGCTTCCCCATCCCTGCCCCTGGGGCACAGGAGGGGGCTGGTAGAATGTGGGGTGCATGGCCCCCTCCTTGCACTGCTCTCTGTAGATCGGGAATGTCCACCAACACAGAAAAAGCTTTAATGCGGTTTCTCATGGATTACTCTTGTTGAAAAAAAGTTTTCCAAAATAGAGCAATGGCTTGTAAAATGCATGAAAAATGTCTTTAAATGAAAAATTATGCAAATTTGTGCATGATTTTTCAGCCACTGGCCACCAGACTGCTGTTGGTCCATGGGTATAAAACAACCCCAAATCACTGATGTCATCTGTTTTTGTGTGCTATAGAATTCTTCAGGAGTTCAATCCAACAAATGGAATGTTTGAGAAGGATACAAAATGAATGCTATTTTACCTAAAGATGATCTATTTATTTTTAGAATTTATTTATGTTTTGGTTTAAATACTATTAATAATGGTTACTCGTGGACATAAAGATAATTTAATCGATACTTGTAATCCAGAGAGTTGTGTTTGTTCTTGAGCCACAAACAGCAGTACTGGGGGTGGGATGGGGGGAAACCACATGGTACTGGGGATCAAATCTGATTCTTCTGTGTGCAAAACATGTGCTTGCTGGCTGCTTCTCCCAGAAGGGAATATAACATGAGACCCCCATAGCCATGCCACCAGACTCTGCCAAGCTGTTTTCACTCGGGGCACCCCAGATGAGAGCCCTCTCTGCCCCAAGGGACCCAGCCCTGGCAGCCGACCTCCACAACCCAACGACTGCCACACTCCAGGCTGCTCCCCATACGCTCGGGCCGAGCTTCGCATATGAGTGATCATATTCCTGAACTCATAAGACACTCCCTACCCATTCCCCATAATTTCCACACCATATTTGATGGGGTTCAGACAGTAGGCAACAAATCATAGAGGGAAATATATATATGCATATATACATCTATATATATTTTCAGATATATATACCAAAGCTCACATCACCCAAACTTTAACAACATGTTAGTGATATCCTATAGAATGTCTTAATGGCTCCTGCCAAAATAGAACAATCTTCACACTGTTTCCTATATGAACACTTTTTTGTAAGCATGTTCAGCAATTCTTCATAACAGACCGTACAAAATATATTCTTTCGTTTCTGTTTTGGGACAGGAATTGGGGCACAGGATGGAAACATCTCGAATTTGGTGGTGGGATTGGTGTTTGAATATTAAATATAATGAAATGCTGTGAACTAACTTATAAAAATAAAAAAAAAAACCAAAAACATGCGCTTGTGTCTCTCCAGCTATCTCTCTGGCCCACTCCAGAGTTTTAGTGCTTTCAAATGGTGCTAGTTTTTATAGAAAGTCACTGGTTAAACACAATTGAGTTAGCTGGAGCGGGAAAATTAGCGAAAAGCTGCTTAAGGGCACACACTGGTAACTAGTAGTTATTAAGTACCAGAGAGCTGATGCACAGCAGAGCAATTAAAACCAACAATACTGTATTATAAACTTCAGCTGTTGCTAAGAGACTAGACCTTCATGTCTGAAAACAAAAAGAACTGATAATTAAATGACATAAAAAAGCATTACTAATGCCATTATAGTAATCATACTGCATAAATGTGTATCAAAGCACCACTTGGCGCACCCCAAAGTTATGCAATGCTACATGCTAATTATATGTCAACTCAAAACAGAAAATAATTTATCTGGGGAATCTAACAAATATAAAAATTCAATTCATAGATCAAAAACAAGAATTTTGATATAATTTTTAAGAATCCCAAGGAAACCCATGACGACTGTTGGTAAGAGAATTTATTATTTTTAGAGAAGAAAAGCATTTTTGTACAACATATAAATCATATGGGCATGCTCACAAAATTATTAAAACCTAATAAAACATTTTTGGGGGAGGGGGCTCCCAATGACTCTCAGCCAACCAGGCCCAGGAAGAGTAGCTACTGACCCAGTACTCTGGGGATACCTGCTCCACCCCCATGGTTCTGGGGGCCTCCAGGGATGCACCTGGGGACCATCTGTGCCAGGAACCAACCTGGGTGGGTCGGTGCAGAAAGACTAACTGCTTTACTATCTCCCAGTGCCTCTAATAAAACAATTTTTATTTTTGGTTTGTATTTGGGCCACAGGGCTGGAGCGATAGCACAGCAGGTAGGGCGTTTGCCATGCACACGGCTGACACGGCCGGCCTGAGTTTCATTCCTCCAACCCTCTTGGAGAGCCCGGCAAGCTACTGAGAGTATCTTGCCCGCAGGGCAAAGCCTGGCAAGCTACCCAGGACATGTTCGATATGCCAAATACAGTAACAAGTCTCACGATGCTACTGGGCCTGCTCGAGCAAATCGATGAACAACGGGAGGTCAGTGACAGTGACAGATTTGGGCAACACCTGGCTCTGTGCTCAGGGGTCACTACTGGTGGGCACTGGAGACCATAAGTGGTGACAGGGATTAAACCTGGTCAGCTGCTTGCAAGGCTCGACCCTCTGTACTATCTCTTTGGCCCCCCAATAGAAGTTTTTAACTTCACAAATCACAATACAAATGTGTGGTTGTGTAAGCAGGCCATGAGCAACAATGGCACATGATCTTTTCTGCACAAGTACTACAAAACTTATCAGACATCAGAGAACCTCAGAGTTGAAAGGGTTCCCAGATATGCCATCTAACCCTGCCAGCATTTCTGGGACTCTCCTTGTCAGGCAGGCCTGTCCCTGGAGCTGCAGGGCACGGTCAGGGCTGTAAACACTTGAAGGCCATATGAATCAAGCCCTGCCTAGCCTGGACGGTGACCACCTGGAACCCACTCAGAATTCTGGCAAGAGAGAGTCGCCTGCTTCGGGTGGAAGCCATTGTTTTTTTAAACAAACTTCCTAAAAATTCCAGTTGCTATACCAGAGTAAGTAGAAAGGGCGACTGCTTTTCATGTGGCAGATCCAAGTTCGATCTCTGGCATCCCATATGGTCCCCGAAGCACTACCAAAGCACAGAGCTGGAGTACTTGAGCTGTGGCAACCCTAAAACAAAAAACAATTTCTAAAGCTGCAACTTAGGCCCCACCCTCCCGCTCCCTCCTTTCCTTCCTTCATACCTGGAGCTCAGGGCTTATTCCTGACTCTGCACTCAGAGATCAGAGATCCTGGCAGGGCTGGTGGCAATGGAGTTTGGGGGGGGGGGGGGGGGGAAGCATGTCTGGGGTGGGGGTTGGGGTGAGGCAGAGAGAGGGTTCAGGGAATTATATGTGGTGCTAGGGATAGAGCCAGGGTTGTCTGTTTGCAAAGCCAGCACCGTTATTCTTGTATCATCTCTCTGGCCAATAAAAACTATTTTTAATTAGGCACTGGTTTTAACCCTAAGTTTTACAGCACCCTCCCTGCCCCCCTCACCCCCCCCCCCCCAATTGAGTTGTGGATAATGGAATTTCCACTGTTTAATATACCAGAGAGAATTATTCCAAGCATCGAACAGAACAGCATTTGTTGAAATATCCTGGTTAGGAAGATGTAATACAATATAATGGCTGGAGTTGTCTTTTGAATTTTATTTAAAAGATACTGTAGTATACTATTTCTAAAAAAATATGAATTCCTCATAAATGCATGCAGAGAAGTGTCTCTCTGCCTCACTTCTTTACAAATTCCCTGTTGACAGACTCAGTTTCTAGCACAAACTATACAAAGAGCACCTGAACAAAACAGGCACTCACTCCATTTTGCTAAGAGGAGGAAGGAAGGAAAGGGTGAGGAGGTGAGGATGCGGGGCCTTTGTCTATTGTATGTGGGATGAAATGTTCCCTTTGTCAGAACTAAGCCCTCAAAAACAGGCAAGGTGTCTTGGTGGCTGGAACCGAGGCTTTTAGGGTCAGTATTTTTGCCACCACCAATCCACTGATTCCCATATCGCCTCCCCTACCCCAGGAGAACTGCTGTAGCCCCTACTCTCAGCCAAACTGCTTAAGAGCTGACTGGGTACCCTGCTATAGAGGACAGCTGACTGGAGCATTAAAGTCCCCTGGAAAAAGTCACTCATTTAAGGAAGCAAGAGATCACAAGACACAGCCCCGTATTTGTAGGGACTGCCCACAGCGGCCCCTCCTCTGCTGCCCTGGAACCTAGCAGGTGCAGACCTCGCTACTGTTAGCATCTTTCCTGTCTCCACGCGAGAGGCTGAGAAGGAAGCCTGCACAATGCAGAAGAGAGGCGAGCTGAGAGAGGAAGACAGGCCAAGTCCCAGGGACAGCAATGAAGACCCGTCGACCCAGCTGCGCTTGCAGGAAACCAGACCTACCCCGAGAGGGAACAGTTCCATTTCCTCTAAGCCATCTGAATCAGGACTTGTGTCACTAGCAGTAAAAGGCATCCTAACAGGCACATTCCTTTATTTGGTCTCACTCCCTGTCTAGCCTCTGGCCATCTGCAGAGCCACTTGGTAGGGGTTCCCCGCATGCACGTGCTGGGTGAATGAACAAGTCAACTAAAAAACTTTGGGGTAAGAAAGAAATCCAGGAGATGTTCTAAAGATAACAGAAGGGTCTAGAAAACAGGACAGGGTCAGTGCTAATGTAAAGATGAGGTCAACAGGGTGGATGAGTCAAATCAAGGACCATAAACAGTTACAAGAGGGTGTTTGTTCTGGAGATTTGGGTCAGCCTAGGTCAAAAGTCCTGTTGGCTGAAACAGAG